ATCGAGATTTCAAGGATATCTTCGACAAGGAAAATTTCGATGAACTCCCTCCACGTAAACCCTGGGACCATGCCATCGAGTTGATCCCCAACGCTAATGCCAATCTGGACTGTAAAGTCTACCCCCTCAATCCCACGGAACAGGAGGAACTGGATAAGTTTTTGGACGAAAACTTAGCCACCGGACGTATTCAGGCCTCGAAATCACCCATGGCCTCTCCGTTCTTCTTCGTTAAAAAGAAGGATGGAAAATTACGACCCGTTCAGGACTACCGAAAGCTCAACGAGATGACCATCAAAAATCGTTATCCGTTGCCGCTTATCGGAGAACTCATGGACCGGCTGAAGAAGGCCAAGTACTTCACCAAGTTGGACGTTCGGTGGGGCTACAATAACGTGCGAATCAAGAAGGGGGATGAGTGGAAGGCCGCTTTCCGAACCAACCGTGGCCTCTACGAACCCCTCGTCATGTTCTTTGGGCTCACCAATTCTCCCGCCACCTTCCAGTGGATGATGAACGACATTTTCAAGGATCTCATCACTGCTGGCGAAGTATCCGTATATCTGGACGACATTCTTATTGCCTCAAAAACCAAGGTTGAGCATAAGAAAATTGTACGAAAAGTTCTCCAGATACTACGAGAGAACAATTTGTTCTTAAAAGCCGAAAAGTGTGAATTCGAGGTGGAAGAAACCGAGTACTTGGGGGTAATCATTAGCGAAGGAAAGATCCGTATGGATCCCGTCAAGATTGCGGGGCTACTCGACTGGCCGACTCCCCGTCGTAAGCAGGAGTTACAGTCCTTCCTTGGATTTTGTAACTTCTACCGACGATTCATTCGGGATTACAGCCGTCATGTTCGACCGCTTACGTCCCTCACCGGTAAACAAGAATGGAATTGGGGAGAAGCCCAGGAAGGGGCCTTCAAGAAACTAAAAGAGTTGTTCCGAGAGGACGTGGTACTCGCTATCCCGCTTGATCAAGGACGGTTTCGAGTGGAGGCGGATTCAAGCGAGGGGGCAGTGGGTGCCGTACTTTCCCAATGGCAGGACGAGAAGTGGAGGCCCGTAGCCTTCCTCTCCAAAGCCTTGTCCGTGACGGAGCGGAATTATGAAATTTATGATAAAGAGCTTCTAGCTATCATGATCGCACTCGAAGAGTGGCGCCAGTATCTCATGGGAGCCCGGGAGGATTTCGAGATCTGGACGGACCACTCGAACCTTCAGTACTTCCGCAAACCCCAGAAACTCAACCGACGACAAGCTCGGTGGGTTACGGAATTAGCGGAGTACCAATTTACCCTTCACCATAAGCCCGGGGCTCAAAACCGAAAAGCAGATTTACTATCCCGAAGGGCAGATCACGACCAGGGGAAGGAGGACAATCGAGATGTGGTGGTCCTTAAGGCCGAACACTTCCGGTCCTTGGTGATGCCGACGCCCGAAGAACTGCACGAAAAAGTGCGAATGGCTACGCACGATCCCCGCCACTGGGATCGAGGGATCTCAGACTCCCTTAACCATGAGAAGGGAATCTCCCGCGAACAAGGTTTATTGTGGTACGACGGGCGGATTTATGTACCCATCGACCGCGACCTTAGAGGACAGATCATCGCCCTCAAGCATGATCACGTAACTGCGGGACACCCTGGGATCGAGAAAACCAAGGAGTTGGTGCTTCGCGACTACTGGTGGCCAAGGATGCACCGAGATGTAGAGGCGTACGTAAAGGGATGCGATGTTTGCCAACGAACCAAGGCAGATCGCCGCCCAAAAAGGGCTCCCTTACATCCCAACGAAGTTCTGGTTCGCCCTTGGACCCACATCTCGGTGGATATGATCACCAAATTACCAGACTCGAAAGGTTTTGATTCTATCCTGGTTATAGTTGATCGCTTTTCCAAGACCATTATCCCTATCGCTTGCACCGAGGAACTCACTTCCCTCGGCTTCGCTAAAATCTTGAGGGACTACGTTTATGTACCCTACGGAATAATGCCGGAGAAGGTCATTTCAGATTGAGGCTCAGTCTTTGTCTCCAAGTTTATGAAGGAATTTTACACCCTCATTCACGTCAAGGGAAACCCTTCTACCGCCTATCATCCCCAAACGGACGGACAGACTGAGAGGGTCAACCAAGAGATTGAAAAATACCTGAAGATGTTCGTCAACGATCGACAAAACGACTGGAGTGAATGGCTACCTTTGGCGGCCTTCACCCACAATAATCGCCAACACTCCTCGACCGGGTACTCCCCGTACAAGGTGGTGTTTGGACGGGACGGGCAAGTCATTACCACGGCGCAAAAACCGACAGTCGTTCCGGCGGCTGCCAAACTGGTCATGGAGATCGAGAAGGCGCAGAAAGAGACGAGAGCATCGCTCGAAAAGGCGGCCGAGTCGATGAAAAAGACTTATGACAAGCACAAGGACCAAGCGGTAGGGTATCAACCAGGGGACAAGGTGTGGTTAGACACGACCAACTTAAAACTCCCCCGTCCTACCAAGAAACTTGGGGATCGTCGCGTCGGACCTTTCGTTATCGTTGCCAAAAAGGGGGCCTCAGCTTATGAACTCAAATTACCCAGCCGATGGAGGATTCACAACCGATTCAACGAATCGCTCCTAACACCCTACGTCGCCCCCGCTTTCCCAAATCAACCTCGCCCCGAGCGACCACCTCCAGAACTGATTGACGATGAGGAAGAATACGAGATCGAGGAGATCGTGGAGCAACGGGACAAGGTTATTGGTCGCAGACGAACCCGTCGCACCATAACAGAGTACCTGGTGAAATGGAAGGGTTATCCAAGGGAGGAGAACTCCTGGGTCAAACGTTCAGACATGGCCAATGCGGAAGAGCTGGTAAACGAGTACGAGGCACGTCTCCAACGGATCCATTGGGAGGTCGACAAGCATGGACGGACGGTGGGAAGAGACGACAAAATACCATCGGGCGTTGGAATAGTCTACCACGACCCGGATACCCCATGCGTTACCGACATCGAGACGGTCTACTCTTCCCAATGCTCGGCTCCAGCACACTCCGATGAGGAGATCAACGTGATAGGAGAGGTGGCCGGCTCAGATGCCGGACGAGGCAACAGACCCGTATCAACCACTTCGTCCTTCCGACGGCTGGTAGTAGAAATATCGGAATCGATGGATCATGCTCTGCAGGAGGAGAACAAAAAATGGCTTCGGGACAACAATGTGCCAGACGACAACTACTGGAAATATACTCCACCAAAGAACGATCCCCGATTCGACAATCCTAAGGTTCGCGACTCCTACCTACGACGCCGTGCCCAAGAGATCGAAGACTCGAGGAGAGAAGATAGACCCTACAAAAACCCACCGGTACTACTCGACCCTCCTTCTGACGACGAAGGCGATATAAACCACCTGCAAAAAGTAACCGAAAATTGGGATTTCGATAGCGAAAATGGTGACAACGATGATGACAGTGTCATGTCTTTCTACAGTCAGTCACAGCAAAGCGGAGGGGAGACTGATGACTCATTCGGGACGAACGAGTCTTAGAGAGGGGGTAATGTTACGATTTATTCATTTCTTTTCCTTTCTTTTCCTTTTTCTTATGCATTCACGCTTACTCTATGCTGCGGTTCTGATCGGACATTCTCACAGTACTATTTTTAGCCTACTCAACGTGTATTTAAGTAGAGCCTCAGCTGGGCTAAACCCCAGCTTCGGCTAAGGTTTATTCTACCTAATATCGAACTCCGTTCTTCGTGACTATCTGTCCCGTTGACTTGCGTCGCCTTTGACTTGCTGAGTGTCGTCTACCGAAGTGCGAGTAGCGACCTTAGTACGATCTAAGTCGATTAGAGTTAGTGGCTAACACCGGGTGGCAGTGTGCTTACCAATACCACATGTTATGCCTTCATTAGGTATGTTATTCCCATGGCAGTCGGTCGGTCGGATCGACCAGGCCTTAAAAAAAATATCGAGTGGATGTAATTATTTGACATCCTCATAATCCCTTGAGGATGGGATAAGGACCAGCATGGACTTTTGGGAAGAATCACATTGGGACGCAACAGCACACCTTATAAGGCGTGTCTTCAAGGGCTTGACAAATTAATGCGCTGGACAGATCACAGGGGCTGCACTATGGTGCTACGCCGCTATATCAGTATGTAGGACGACTGAACTATATATCACACTGTAACTAGCTACGTCTTATGGATTGTTATGTATCTTAATGAATTCTATATTACAAGGGGGGGTCTACAGCAAGAAAAAGCATTTTCCAGATGGGAATCAACTAATTGGGCATTGTTTTTCATGCCATGCACCCTGTCTCACTTCTTGTAATTTTCTTAGTGTCTGATGTTCTTTTTCCTTTCTTCCGTCTCCCACTGATTCTGGCTGAACAGTGAAAATTCAGTAGAGCATCCGAAGGATCGTGACTTTCAATTCACAAGAACCACTGTGAAGCCATGTTATGGATATTTGATAGTTTCTATATTTAGTCTTCACTTTCCTTACCTTTCTTTTCATTTCAACATAGCGTAGGAAATTTCTTGAAGTTTCTTCTCTAAATTTCCTCTAGTAAGTTTTAGAATAATGCCTTCATACTTAACCTGTATGAAAATGCCTGAAAGGGCATCTAAATCTACTTGTTAACCTTCATTACTTTGTGTGAATCCTGAGTGATTAAGTTCGACTACGCCTAGCACTTGTCGAATGGACCACTATCCAACTATGCCTAGCACTTGTTGGACATTTCTAGTTATGCTGAGCGCTTGCTAGACTTACTTGGGTTCCTTCATAGGTAATAGAACTTACAACTCTCCTCGCTACTCTTCGCGTTATAGATTATATTCGGGTTCTCCTTAGCTCATACATTGTCTAAACTATGCGTACTCTCAACATTGGTGGACACATTGTTCTTACCTGTCTGAAGGAATCAGTCACAGCATTTCAGACCCGTTTCAAGACTTCATCGTTCGTCTGCTTGCACAGAAACCAACAACCATGTCAACACCGGCTTTGGAAGATCCCCTTCCCAACTCACCTGATCATTCTCTAACACAAACCTCATTTGACAGCTCATTCACTTTTGCTGCCACACTCATGCCACTGGTCTCGCCCGTCAAACCTGAGGATGCTGAGCAAGATGAAAGCAAGGATGTTGAAAGATCATGGCCTATCTCGATAGCACTTCATACATTCTCTCGACACTCCAGCCTCAAGGATCGGAAGGAGCGTGCACTGCAGATCCTTAAACTGGGTACCAAGATTGGGAAAGGATTATGCACTGTGGAACACCTTAGTTACAACCAGTACTCTAAGACTTTCGTTGAAGAAACTTCAATGATGGATTATTTGCTTCGACATCCAGTAGCCGCCCCTACAGATGACCAGGAACACATTTATAGACTCAATGCATCCTCATATCGAGACTTTCGTGCCCTCCTTGCCACAAAGTGTTCCATGGCTATGAAGTCTCTTCAACACTTCGGTTACTGGGATCTGGTTGAACCCGTGTGGGGCTTAGACATCTGGCTTTATTTGATGGCAAATGACTTCGAAATATATGCTTTGCAGTATCGAATTCGTGTGGAGCAGTTCCTCTATATGCTTGATGCAGTTCATGACTGGGAGAAACTTCGCACTCGAGTTTTTCTGCACAAGGAGTTATTAGCAGCTCAGCATGACGCCGATAAAGCTCATGTCAAGGAGAAAGACGATGTGTCTATTTCTCATGCACCTGCATCTTCGAAGCCATCTCCCAAATTGAAGACACCTCATTCTGCAGTCACAGATGTTGCCTCCGATTGGAACCTGGGGGGGGGTAAGGCATGCAACCATTGGAGAAGAAGATCAGAGACCAAGTAATAGACACACCTCCCAATATTCCACTAGAGCAGCCGAAATTTTAGGCTATTCTCCCCATCATCCGAACTCAAAGGTAAACAGATCACATGGATTCAGTCTGCAGGGACACAAGAGTTTACGAGCATCTTCTTATCAGCCTCGTACTCCAGCAGAATCCGACGACAACCAATCCTCAGTGGAAGGTGATGATCCTCCCAGCGATCCGGATTCAGAACCCAGTAATGGTGGTGGACATAGGCATCCCTCTCATTGACCATCAGCAAATCCCAAGCCATTTAACCAGTCTGTTGAGCATTCTTGTATCCATTTCAATACTAAACTTAAGATGGGAGACGTACCTACTTGGAATGGTGACCTGGACACTATTGTCTCCTGGATCTTGAAGATTAATGACCTTGTGGCTATGAGTGACTCAGTCTTTCAAGATTTGGGGCATATTGTTCCTAAGAGATTGTCTGGAGATGCCAACAAATGGTATTACTCCCTGCCGCTACCATATAGGTTGGATCTGGAAAAGAACTGGGCTACACTCAGGGAAGGAATCACAGATTACTATATGAATAGACGTTGGTGGGAGCGTCAGAAGGACAGAGCTTGAAGCACAACTTATTGACAGCCTGGACACACTAGGGAGACTCCCAGCGAGTACTATATTCGTAAATCTGAATTGTTGAACACTGCGTTCACTCTAACTGACTCTGAAATGATCAGTCAAGTAATGGACAGCGCTCCTCTGAATTGAAACACAGTGTTGACTATGCAGCTTTACAAGACAGCCATTGAATTCCAGGCCAGCATTCGCTATCATGAAGATCAACTTTTGCATCTTGATCCCAATTATCGAGGACATACCTTAAATACCTATGAACTGCGAGCCTCCCAGGACAGATACCATGTGCCATACCAACAATCTCATGCACGACTAGCTGGTTCATTTAGCTGACCTATTGCTCCTTCATTTCCGAAGGACGATTCTAACATAACTCAAAGGAAGAAGGCTCCTAAGGACGTTGGTGCTTGACCTTGTCATCACTGCGGCAGTGGAGAACACTGGGATCAAGAATGCAATCATCACGAGGAAGGAATGCGTACTGCTAGAACTCGACTTGCTGAGACTGATATCCTCGAGCTGCAAGCTCAAGATGAGTATGACGAGTTATACTACGGACTTCCAGCAGAATTGGAATTTGACGCCTTGTTGAAATCGACAGACTGTACTTGCAGACTCATATCTTCAAGTGGGAATCATGAGGAAGCGTCAAACCGAGGAAGTATTTCTGAAGGTAGGAAGGATGAGTCAGGCATTTATTGCAATGAGATGATGGCATATACTCACAAAGTATCCACTGAGACACCTAGCTCAACCTCTTTATGACCATCATTCCCATCAACCTTCACACGTAAACAACAACACTGCTTGGATAAACTGCAGCAAAAGTTCCGATGGGTATTCCATATTCAAACCCCTTCCTCAACTGGAGAATCACTCTTGGAGCTTAGAAAGCACATGTCACGACCATCAGGTTGCACCTTTCTGGGAAGTAAAGCAACAACCACTCGAGCTGGAATCAACAGCGTGGGACTTGATGTAATACCAGTCATCGTCGACTCAGGTTCTGATATTACTCTTATTTCCCAGATGGCTCTGCAAACACTAACTTCTTGCCCTAAAGTCCGTATGGGTCAGAAGATCAATCTTATTCAGGTTACTGGAAACTCTACCATTTCCGGGTACGTCAACATTGATTTGTTTTTTGAAACAAATGAAGGTCCTGTAAAGATGAATGTGGATGCATATATCGTCAATGGAATGACTACTCCTTTCATTCTTGGAAATGATTTTGCTGACCATTACTCCATCTCTATCTTGCGACGAGAAGGTTCGAGTTTTCTATCTTTTGGAGATACAGGTCGAGAAATAGAGGTTGAAAGCTCGACGACTCCTTCCACCATCGACAGAGAGGGTAGAACATTCAAGGTCCGAGTTATTCCAGAAGCGAACTCTCGATTGGCTAAGCTTAGAACACATCGTTGGTCCCAGAAGATTAAAAAGCGGCAATGCTTACTTCAAGGTCGTGGAGACATCAGGGCAGCGAAGCGGGTGGTATTACCACCTGAAACCAGTGTTTGGGTTCCCATCAATGCAGTGTTTGGAACAAAATCAAAGGATCTATTTGTAGAACGACACATAGCTCAGGATCCAAATCAATGGCAATTCTACGGCTCACCAGATTCATTGATCTCACAAGATAACTCTTTCCTTCATGTATCCAACTTCTCGGATGCCCCAATTGTCATCAGCAAGGGCCAGATTATGGGGCACGCTCATAACCCCAGAAATTGGTTGGATAGGCATCAGGGAAGCAGTGATGATACTCAAGCAAAGGAATTACGTGCGTACCTGGTGAGAGAATTAATTAAGGCACAGATCACTGGTGACACAGAAGGATCGGGACGAATGATCTGAAGTATTTCTGATGTCACCTCCAAGGCGCAACGTAACACGTTCGAAGCTGATGATCCTGCTGCTACGGATCCCGTCGAAGGAGGTCCTAAAACCGCAGAGCCTCCATCTGATTTGTTGCCATCATCAGATATTCTCAAAGCCTTGGATATCTCACCACATCTCACAGAGGACCAACAACAACGTTTGCAAGGCATAATCATGAAGAATCAGGACACTTTTGGTCTAGATGGCAGACTAGGCACCAACGATGCTCAAGTGGAGATAAAACTCAAGCCCGAAGCGAAACCAGTCTCTCTGCCTCCGTTTCCCATCTCTCCTGCAAACCGAGAGGTAATGGATAAACAGATCGACGTGTGGATCCAGCTCAGAGTCATCGAACCTTCTGAAAGTCCATGGGCTGCTCCCGCCTTTATTGTATACCGGAATGGTAAGCCTTGTATGGTTATTGACTATCGCAAATTGAATGCCTTAGTTATACCTGATGAATTTCCGCTGCCCAAACAAGACGATATCATGCAAGCTTTGAGCAGATCTCAGTGGCTAACCACACTCAATGCGCTCTCAGGCTTTACTCAGCTAATATTACATGAGGACTCACGAGAAAAACTAGCCTTCTGTTGTCATAGAGGCCTTTGGCAATTCACTCGGATGCCATTCGGGTACCGCAATGGTCCTAGCATGTTCCAACGTGTTATGCAAAATATCCTTGCACCGTTTCTCTGGATTTTTGCACTAGTCTATATCGATGACATTGTAATTTTCTCGTTAAACTTCGACGACCACCTTTCACACATTGACCGCGTTTTACAAGCTATTACAGCTTCAGGAATCACTCTTTCCTTGCCTAAATGTCATTTCGCATATCAATCCCTGCTTCTCTTAGGTCAGAAGGTGTCTAGACTTGGTATGTCGACCCACTGAGAGAAGGTTGAAGCTATTCTCATGCTTGAAACACCATGGAATGTTAACAAGTTACAGACCTTCTTGGGAATGATGGTTTATTTCTCTGCTTATGTCCCATTCTATGCATGGATTGCTCACCCACTCTTCCAGCTTCTGAAGAAAGGGAACTCATGGGAATGGACCGATTTGCATGACGAAGCCTTTACCTTATGCAAACAGGTTTTATCCAATGCACCAGTCAGGGGATATGCGACTAGGGGACTCCCTTATAGAGTTTATATGGATGCTTGTGATTACGGCCTAGCAGGAATATTACAACAGGTTCAACTGATCAGTGTGTGTGATCTCAAAGGAACTCGATTATTTGATAGGCTGAAGACTGCTTTCGATAAGGGTGAGTCAGTACCGCAATTGGTACCATGCATTTCGAAGGAATTTAATGATGTCCCTACCCCAAAGGCATGGGCATCTAACTTTGAAGATACCACGGTGTATGTGGAACGCGTTGTGTGCTACTGGTCATGCGTACTGAAGTCAGCTGAACGAAACTATTCCCCAACTGAAAGAGAAGCTCTTGCATTGAAGGAAGCATTAATTAAGTTTCAACCTTATATTGAAGAAGAGAAAATTCTTGCAATAACTGATCATGCTGCCTTAACCTGGAGCCAGACATTTCAAAACATTAACCGGAGGCTATTAACCTGGGGAACAGTATTTTCTGCATATCCAAATCTGCATATCATCCATCAAGCTGGCCGAGTTCATTCCAATGTTGACCCTATATCTAGATTGCGACACCATCTTCCTCCCCAAGAAGGACCTCTTTCTGATGTAATGACTCCCGTGGACCTTACAAAATCAGGGACAGATATAGATCCTTTACGGAATATGTTTGAGGAACTGGGTGAGCATTTTGAAGAACGGTTACTTTCTGTAGGTTCCAAATTTGTTGCTTCGGAGATGCCACAGCCTGATGAATTCACCGTTGACCTAGGACACCTTCCCATCATTCACGGGGAAGATGTTATCACGACAACCCGTGTTCTAGCTGCACAGACTCATTCCCTTCTAGTAGGATTATCAGCCGATGAATTAGCTACTTGGCGAGCAGCTTACCTTATGGACTCGCATTTCCAAGATGTTATTCAATCCTTTTGAGACCCTCAATCACATGTAACTCCTGTCTTTCCCCAGTATTATTATTCTGATGAAGGACTATTATACTTCGAAGACAGTATGGGAAATAGCAGATTATGTGTTCCAAAATCACTTCAACTTCAAGTTATGGACCAGGTTCATAATTCCCTTACTGAATCAGCACACAGCGGTTATCACAAATGCTACAATCGCCTCACTGCTACACACTACTGGCCCAGTATGTCTAGGGACCTCAAGAAGTATATTGCTACTTGCGACATATGCCAGAAATCAAAACCGAGATGACACGGACCTATCGGACTCCTCCAACCTATACCAATACCCATGCGACCCTTCGAAGTCGTTTCAATGGACTTCATTCCAGAATTACCCAACTCTTCAGGGTACGACAATGTATTGGTAATTGTGGATAAACTCACTAAATACAGCATCTTTGTTCCTTGCACCACAGCCATCTCTGAAGACGCCACCG